GTACACAGCATAGCAGTGAGGCAGGAGGCCAACGTTCCGGAAGGCCAGCTGGGCGTATGTTATACTCGAGTCTTGGCGGATTTCGCCAGCGGGGCTAAGGACAATCGTGCCTCTTCAGGCCCGAGCAGCACAGGAGTGCGCCATCATATTCTGACTACTGGGCCACCATGTTTCGAGCGTCCTCGAAGACTGTCCGGGGAGAGGCTCGCAGCGGCTAAAGCAGAATTCGACTCGCTGCGAGCCCAAAACATTGTACGCCCTTCCTCGAGTCAATGGGCCAGTCCTATTCATCTGGTCAAGAAGAAGACAGGAGGATGGCGAGCCACTGGCGATTACCGCCGGCTTAATGCCAGCACCGTTCCTGATTGGTATCCCCTACCGAATATTGAAGACCTCCTCCAGGACTGCCACGGATGCACGGTATTCTCCGTCGTCGATCTCGAACGGGCGTACTACCAGTTGCCCGTCGCGGAGGAGGACGTGCTCAAGACAGCCGTGACGACTCCTTTCGATTTGTTTGAATTTGTTGGCATGCCTCTAGGACTCCGCAACGCCTCTCAAACATTCCAACGACACATGGATTTGGTGCTGCGCAATCTTCGATTCGTGAGGTGCTACCTGAACGATCTGCTGGTGCTCTCCAAATCGCACGAGCAGCACATCGAGCACCTCCAGCTATTGTTTGCCGCTTTAAGCCAAGCTCAGCTCTCCATCAACCTGGATAAATGTGTGTTCGGGCGAAATCAGGTGACTTATCTAGGCTTCTTAGTATCGCAACAAGGCTACCAGCCGCCCCCGCAGCACGTGCAAGCAATACGAGACTTTCCGCTGCCGAAGACAGTAGCCGATCTCCGAAGGTTCCTCGGCATGCTAAACTTTTATCGTCGCTGCATTCCGAAGGCGGCTGAACTACAAGCGCCTCTACACAACTTCCTCAAAGGGGCCAAGAAGAGAGACCGTTCCGAGGTACAGTGAACAGACGAGACCAGGAAGGCTTTCAAGGCGTGTCGAGAGAGCATCGCTTCAGCCATCGCGCCTGCGTATCTCCACCATTCAGCGCCACTCGCGCTCACCACCGATGCCTCAAGCACTGCCATCGGCGCCGCTCTGAAGCAGTTCGAAGATGGTTCTTGGCGACCGATCGGATTCTTCTCACGCAAACTCAGCGACGCAGAGCAACGCTATAGCACATACGATCGCGAGCTGTTGGCCATTTTCGCAAGCATTAAGTACTTTCAGAGGATCCTGGAAGGACGTCAGTTCCGGGTACGTACCGACCACTGGCCCATCATCTTCGCGCCACACCAGCGAGCGGACAAAGCTTCACCGCGCCAGCAACGGCAACTGGACTTCATCCTGTAATTCCAGCTCACTTTGGAGCACGTAAAAGGGCAGGACAATGTCGTGGCGGATACGCTTTCGAGAGCCTGCGCTATCGACATGCCGACCATCTTGGACGCTGCTACAATCGCTAATGCACAGGATGACGACGACGAGCTTCCGCATCTGCGAGACAATGCTGCAACGCCTCTACAGCGCCTTACTATCGAGGGCTACGACGTCTACTGCAGCATCGCCGGAATTCGGGTGAGGCCCTACCTGCCAGTTTCGCTCCGGCGACGAGCCTTTGACGTCGTGCACGGACTCGCACACCCGAGCGGTCGGGCTTCAGTAAGAGAAGCCACGCAGCGGTTCTTTTGGCCGGGCATTAAGAAGGACGTCGCGCGCTGGGCCCGAGAGTGTCAACCCTGTCAACGGGCAAAGGTCCACCGGCATAACCACTCAGCCCTCGGTCGATTCAACATACCCGACAACCGTTTTGACCACGTCCACGTGGATATAGTCAAGCTGCCGCTAGTTGCAGGGCGGCAATACTGTCTGATAGCCATCGACAGATTCTCCAGGTGGCCGATCGCCGTGCCGCTGCAGGATATGCAAGCAGGGACTATAGCAGCAGCCTTCTTCGAGCATTGGATCTGCCACTATGGGACCCCATTAACGATCACCTCCGACCAGGGAGCGCAGTTCGAATCAGCACTGTTCACGGCGCTGGCGCAGCTCATCGGGGCCAAGCGGATACGGACAGCACCGTATCACCCGCAATCCAACGGTATAATCCAGCGATTTCATAGGTCGCTCAAGGCAGCGCTGATGTGCAACCCTCAAACGCCTTGGATGGACCTTTTGCCAGCGGTGATACTGGGCCTTCGCACCTGTTTCAAGCAGGACCTACAAGCCTCTGCGGCAGAGATGCTGTACGGCACGGCGTTAAGGATTCCGGGTGAGTTCTTCGTTACGCAGAATCAACCGGCTTGCCCACAGGTCTTTCTGTCAAAATTTCGAAGCCTCATCAGAGACATCAAGCCGGTACCGACTTCACATCACATCTCACCCAGGACTTTCCGCCTCAAAAACATTGACTGCTCTCACGTATACAAAAGACTGAGTTTATCAGGAAGCCGTTGGAACCACCTTATACAGGGCGGCATGAGGTGATCAAGCGGCTAAACGAACTTCTTTCATCATTCAAATCAACGGCGTGGAGAAGACGGTTTCAGCCGACAGCCTCAAACCGGCATTCGTGGAAGCGGCGGACGAGCGGGTAGAGCCCGCGGCGGCTGCCGCCCCTGAACCAGGACCGTCCAGACCCTGACGAATTTCGTTCCTTGCTCCCCCGCAAGGAACTAAGGAGGGAGTAGTTGTGGCGGAAGAGCGGCTCCCGCCATCTGCCGCAGGGAGCGCGGACCCGCTGCCGCCGAGGAGGCAGCGGAAGCAGTCGCTCGTGCCGCGGGAGTGTTTCAGTGCGAGTGTGTCGTGTCCCCCGAGCGGTCGAGAGTTTTGAATCCGGTGAGACGTTTTCCTCTGGCAAGAGGCGCGTGCGTGTGACGGGCCTTCGCGGGCTTCTCGTCGGTCGAAACGAGCCGCCGGTCGGTGTTGTGAGCTATCGCGTCTGAGTGCAGTGTGCCTTGCCTTCCATTCGCAGCGCGAATTCGGTCCCCGCGCGCCGCGTCCAGTGTCACGCGTCGCGGTTGCGCGCGGACGCCTCTCGTGTCGAAGAGCCGTCCGCTCCGGTGATTTCGAGCGCGCCTTCGGGCAAGCGGCCCTTGCGATCTCGCGGTCGCCCTCGCGCGGCCCAGTCGTCGGCTTTTGCGTCTGTCGCGATCACGTGTTCGGCCGTGGGTTCCACGTGTGCTGCCGCGTGTTGTGCGTGTTGCCTTCAGCGCGACCGCTGCGAGGTCGCGTAGCGGAGCGTGCGTCACGTGCGTTCCGCGTGGCTACACGGTGGCCGTTGTTGGCGTGTTCTTTTGTTTCCGTCGCTCTTTCATTTTCCAAACACGTGGAACCTCGGCGCGACCGCTGCGAGCTCCCGCCGTTGGTGAGTATCACATGCGTTCCGCGTGCCTGCGTGGTACGCCGGCGAGCATGCGTGCGTTCCTTTTTCACTGTCTTCAGTCTCTTGTTCACGAGCGTGTGCGCCCCGTGCGAGGGGCCGAGTGTAAGAAATAAAAGGTTTTTTTCTTTCTGTACTATCCTTCGAGTCGGTTCACTGGGGGCCCTTGAGGTCTGTCCTCAAGCGCCGCGAGGGAACACTTCAACCAGGGTACGGGTGCCGTGCCCCTGCAATTTGTACATCTATTCCGCTGACCTTTGCTGTGCGGGGTTGATTCTGGTCGAGTCGAGCGGGAGTCCACTCGAACCCCACAGGCCCTTGAAATGAGCCCCGAAATCCTACCGGCCGTCCAACGTCAGGCCTTGATCGTGGGCCCGACGCGGACGCGGACTCCATCCACCCGGATCTGGGTCTTCGGCGGTGCCCCACGGCAGCCGTCATGAAAATAGACGGCCTCCGTTTTCCGGGGCGCAACATTGAATCCCATATCCATGATGGTGACCACCACGTAGTGCAATGCTGCCTCTGCTCGGAGGTGGGCTTCCCCCCAGTTCCTCCCTCCGGCTACCACTAACATGTCAGCCGCGTAGCAGATGACGTGGCAGCCAGGGGAAGGGGAGAGCGCAGTACCCGGTCAAACGTGATTTCCCATAGCAGGGGGCCGAAGACCGACCCCTGCGGGACACCACGCCATGGCGCGCCGACCTTGGACCTCGCCTCTCCCCGAGTAAGTGATCTCCCAATCTTCGGCCAGGGCAGTGTGTTGAAGGCATTGGTGATGTCGAGCGATACCGCCAACAACAACTCGCCCTCCCTCTCCACGAGCACTCTGGCCAGGTCCCGGCGACGCTGGCATCGCATCCAGCGTGGATCTTCCGGGCTTAGACCCGTATTGGTGATCGTGAAGGTTCTGTCCCTCCAGGGATAGATGCCGGACGAGGCGGTCGGCAATGATACGTTCCAGCATCTTGCTCGCCTCGTCCAGCAGGCATATCGGCCTGAAGATCGGCGCGCTACCGGGCACCTTGCTATCCTTCGGGAGGAGGACCAGTTTGGCCCTCCTCCACTCTGGGAGATATATGAGATGATTTAATTTTTAAATGTAATCACTATTTTGAAGAAATGAACTATTACTTTTTTTGATCTACTTATATAAAAATAAAAGCTTATATATAAAATAAAATAAAAATATAAAAATAAAAAAAAAATTTATATATAAAAACAGAAATCTGTTATCAAATCTATATCCAGACAGCACACAGATGTCCATTGGACGTCTGTTATATGTCCATATTTTTTACAAAGGACGTCCATAGGATGTACGTTTGTCACAACTTCGGACATAGGATGTCCGATGGACGTACATCGGATGTCCTACAGGTCCGATGTCCAATAAGGAAATCCTTGTTACGTCCAATTTATGTCCACAGACGCAAATCGGTCATACGGATATAAATTGGACGTGAAACGTACATCCATTGGATGTCCGGTGCTGTCTGGGTATAAAAACAAACTCATTAAATTGTTAAAATATGAACATAATAATACTTCATCATATTATGTATAAACGAAAAAAACATTAAAATTACGAATGACTAAGAAACATAAAATATTTACATACAACACAACGCAGTTTTAGAATGCAGAGTAATTTTGTATATTACCAATTACTCAGTAAAAGTAACACATTATAACCTTCATACTTTGTTTCGTAATTGGTCTCTTTTTTTTCAAAAGTTAATTGTAATAATTTTAATGCATAAGAAAATCCTTCGTTATTTGGAAATTCGCGTAATAGATTTCCTATTACGGTAATTATATTAGTTTTATTATCTTCTGATTGTATATGTTCAGGTATTGTACGTACTATTTCTTCTGTTTGTAACGATGATGTTTCTATTTTTATTGGTTCCCTCATAATACTTGATGACGTCTCTAACATGTCGCTATTATTCGATCTCTTTTGTCGCTTTTGCATGGAAACTTCGTCAAGTTCTGATATTTTACTTGATGCACAGTCGCTCTTACTCGGAATGTTAGTAGTAGTACTGAAACATAAAACAAAATTTATATACAAAAATATAATAATTCATTATGTATATTACTAATTTATTATATACCGTTCCGTCTCATAAGAAAGTAATTAATAAAAATTAATATAAGAAAACAAAAAAACTTTCGGTAAATCATATTTTACATTATTTTTAAAATAATGCCAATAACATATTTCAAATAATATTTGAATATACTAACTTATGAGAATCCTGTATATCATGTAGAAATCTCATATATTCATACCACTTCCATTTTACAGGTTTATTTGCGGTTGAACCACTCCTTTTCCTTAATATATCATTACGGATGCGCATATACAGGGTTCTCAAAAAGTCTTCGAACGATAAAATATCTCGAAAACAATCAGTTTTTGGAAAAAATGTTTCAGACAAAAGTTGTAAGGCTTAAAATGATCTATTTACTGATCTTATCAGTTTGACCTTGGCTAGCGCAACAAGGTCAGGGCAAAGTCATCTTGAACTTTCCAAACGGAACGCCCTACTCTTTTTGGCATATTCTTATAACGTATTTCAAGAGCTTTCCAAAATGCTACAGCAAAGTATTTTTTTGTTAAGTACATCTCGAGTTATGAAGCTTCAAAGTTACAGTCGGCATTAGCATTACCCAAGGTGTACCGCGTAGAGGTTGCACGATCGGATTTACACCTCTTGTGTGTGTGTGTGTATGTGTGCGTGCATGTGCCTGTGCGTGCGCGTGTGCGTGTGTGTGTGTGTATGTGTGTGTGTGTGTGTGTGTGTGTGTGTGTACGCGTGTATGTGTGCATGTATTTGTGTGTGCGTCTGCGTATTATGTAACAGAAACAAGGACCCCACGGTTCGTCACTCCCGTAGTATTTTGACTCCAAACCCTTTGTGTTGTGTAAAGTGACTTTATCTCATCTTTTAAGATCTGCAACATTTTTCAATTAATTAAATGTTCAAATTGTCTTCCTTCTACCATTTCACAATGAGCTAAATGTTCATAGAAATGACTGAACACATCGTTTATTTGTTCTAAAATGATGAGAGATGCTTCCCGCATTATTCGATTGCTAAGGTCTTCCAAATTACGTGGTTTTGTCGCATAAACCTTGTTTTTGAGATATCTCCAAAGAAAAAAATTTAGAGGAGACAAATCAGGTGATCTAGCAGGTCACTCAATAGCACCCCTCCTACCTATCCATCGACCAAGAAAAGAACGATTCAGAAATTCTCGACTTCTTATTGCGTAATGAGGCGGTGCTCTATCTTGCTGGAACCAAACATGTTGCATGTCTGCGTCAAATTTATTTCGTATGTCGGCTATAATATGATCTCGTAATAAATTTTCATACTTTTCCGCATTCAAATTACCGTCTGTCAAAAATGGACGAATAATACCGCGACTGCAAATTCCTGCCCAGACATTCAATTTTTGTGGATACTGTGTGCGAAGATCACTCATTCAATGTGGATTTTCATCACTCCAGTATCTGCAATTGTGACGATTAACAGAACCGTTTATTTGGGAACATAGCTTCATCTGAAAAAACAATAAAATTCAAAAAGTTATCATCAATTCGATTCATCATTTCTTCACAAAATTGAATTCTTCTATCAAAATCATCTTCCATAAGTTCTTGAGTGATAACAATTTTGTAAGGATGATATTTATGCTTTTCTAAAATGTTAAGAATGCTACCTTGACTGATATCATGGGCTTGCGCTGTTCTTGGCACAGATGTATGAGGATTTTCTTGAAATGACAGCAAAACATCCAAACTCATATCATCATTTTTTGCGGATTTTGGTCTTCCGCTACGAGGTCGGTCTTGAACTATTCCAGTTTCCAAAAAACATGTCACTGTGTACTGAACAGTAGACTTAGAAATAGGGTTGCGATCAGGATGTGTAGCATTGAAGAGATCAGCTACTTCCTGATATGATCTAACACGGTCTCCAAACCCTCGATACATAAGCAGCAAAATCCTTTCTTTTTCGATCAACATTTTTCAGATAGAAATTTGAAGTTGTAGAACGAAAAAAGAACAAAATAGATAAAGATCGAGACGCAAGCGAATACGATTAGTTTGTAGAATACACGGAGCAAGAAGCGTTTTCGAAAACCACCAGTATGCACGAGTTTTAGCTGTAAGTCCTCGTGGTGTCCGATGTTCACTAATGATCGCCTTTGATGTTAGTAGATCAATTTGCCAAAGTAACCTCCTTGTAAACTAAATTCTTAATAAGCTTTGTAGTTTACTCCTAGGTCGTTAAAGTAGATTTTCTTAAGAGTTCCCTTAAGAAAATAAAATATTAAGAATTACTGAAAAATTTACAGTGATTAATCACTGGCCAAATTATTACTGAAATACTGCTATCCCTATGAACGTTTAGCTCATTGTTAAATGGTAGAAGGAAGACAATTTGAATATTTAATTAATTGAAAAATGTTGCACATCTTAAAAGAGGAATTAAAGTTTACACAACAGAAAGGGTTTGGAGTCATGAAATACTATGGGAGTGACGAATCGTGGGGTCCTTGTTTCTGTTACATAACACGCAGACGCACACACACACACACACGCACACACAAACGTGCGCGCGCACGCGCACACACACACACACGCACGCACACGCACGTACACGCACACACACACACACAAGAGGTGTAAATCCGATCGTGCAACCTCTACGCGGTACACCTTAGGTAATGCTAATGCCGACGGTACTGTAACTTTGAAGCTTCATAACTCGGGATGTACTTAACAAAAAAATACTTTGTTGTAGTGTTTTGGAAAGCTCTTGAAATACGTTATAAGAATATGTCAAAGAAAGTAGGGCATTTTATTTGAAAAGTTCAAGGTGACTTTGCCCTGACCTTGTTGACGCTAGCCAAGGTCAAACCGATAAGATCATTAAATATATCATTTTAAACCTTATAACTTTTGCCTAAAACATTTTTTCCAAAAACTGATTGTTTTCGAGATATTTTATCGTTCGAAGTCTTTTTGAGAACCCTGTATGAATCTTTAAGGTATCGCCATTTTTTGCAAGCAGCATCAGGCGTTACAATTCCTATGGCCAGGAAGAGGCTTGGGGCCAGGGACAAAGCGCTCGGCCCCGACGGCATTCCTGGTCGCGCCTGGGCTTTCGCCCTCGGCGAGAGGAACCTGTCCGCAGCCACGCGGGACATGCTGAATAGGTGCCTCAAGAAGGGGTATGCCCCCCAGAGTGGAGGAGGGCCAAACTGGTCCTCTTCCCGTAGGATAGCAAGGTGCCTGGTAGCACGCCGACCTTCAGGCCGATATGCCTGCTGGACGAGGCGAGCAAGATGTTGGAACGTATCATTGCCGACCGCCTCGTCCAGCATCTGTCCTTGGAGGGGCTGAATCTCCACGATCACCAATACGGGTTCAGGCCCAGAAGATCCACGCTGGATGCGATCCAGCGTTTCCGGAACCTGGCCCGGGTAGTCGTGGAGAGGGAGGGCGGGTTGTTGTTGGCGGTATCGCTCGACATCACCAATGCCTTCAACACTCTGCCCTAGCCGGAGATTGGGTGGGCGCTCGAATATCAGTGGGCGCCCGCCTATCTCCGGCGCATCTTGTCGGCCTACTTCGGAGGCAAGGACCTCGCCTACTTGGGGAGAGGTGAAGTCCAAGGTCGGCGCGCCATGGATCGTGGTGTCCCGCAGGGGTCGGTCCTTGGCCCCCTGCTATGAGACATCACGTTTGACCGGGTACTGCGCTTTCCCTTTCCCCCTGGCTGCTACGTCATCTGCTACGTGGATGACACGTTAGTGGTAGCCGGGGAAAGGAACTGGGGCGAAACCCACCTCCGAGCAGAGGCTGCATTGCACTCCGTGGTGGGCACCATCACGGATCTGGGACTCAAGGTAGCGCCCCGGAAAACGGAGGCCATCTATTTTCACGATGGCCACCGTGGGGCGCCGCCGAAGACCCAGATCCGGGTGGATGAAGTCCGCGTCCACGTCGGGCCCACGATCAAGTATCTGGGCCTGACGTTGGACGGCCGGTGGGATTTCAGAGCCCATTTCAAGGGCCTGGCCCCCCGGGTCCGAAAGACGGGTCTGACGTTGGCCGGCCTTAATGAAGACCCAGGGCAGCCCCGGATGGCACGCTCGCCGCCTGTACGTCGGGGTGGTGCTCTCGATCGCCCTCTACGGGGCGCTCATATGGGCGCCCAGACTAATGGCCTCCGAGCGCAGCAAGGCGCTTTTGCGCCAGGCAATGCGCTCGATGGTCATGAAGGCGATTCGGGAGTACCGCACCGTATCGTACAGGGCGGCGATGGCCTTGGCCGGCTCTCCCCCCCCCGTAAAGCTCCTCGCCGAACAGCGGTATACCCTCTACTGGAGGGTGAAGGAGCTCCACGCGGCGGGGGAGGGTTTAACGGTCAGGGACTTGAGGGTCCTGAAATCCCAGGCCGAGGCCCGAGTCCTGGAGCGGTGGTCTGCCATATTGGCCGACCCCCGGGGATTCGGGCATCGAACGGCCAAGGCCGTCCGCCCTTGCTCGCCAAAAATGGCGGGCAGGCGGGGACGCAGGCTAACCTTCCATATGGTGCAGGTGCTGACCGGGCACAGTTACTCCGGTCGGTACCTGCACCGAATTAGAAGGGAGCCCACCGCGGGGTGTCACCACTGCCCGATGCGAGAGGACACGGTAGAGCACATCCTGGTGTGCTTCAGCACACCTGGTGGTTCAGCACACGCTGAGTGCCAGGCGTGTTCTGAACAACGCCGTGTCCTCGCCCGGGCAGTGGGATGCCAGGGGTAAGACCTTTCGATCCCGCACTTGCTCAAGGCAATGTGCGGGAGCGAAGAGGTATGGGGAACAGCGGCCTCCTTCTGTCGGGACGTCATGTCCCGGAAGGAGGTTGTCGAGTGGGAGAGCCACCCACCCCATCGCAGGGGGTGACGGAGGAGGTGGCGCTCCCCAGGGGGGGAAGCAGGCCCGAGGTGGCGCTGGCCGAGGAGGAGGTGAGGCCACCGGCTTGGCGGAAGCCTCCTCCTCGGCCGCCTCGGGCCCGCCTTCGACAGGGCAGCGGAGGTGGGTGAGAGGTGGTAATACTCTCGTCCACAGGGCACGTCGGAGAAGAAGGGGAGAAGGGGAGTGAGGCTAGGTTGGAGCCAGGCCTCACTCTCCTGCCCTTCCCCTTACATACCCAGTAGGGTAGGGGGAAGATGGGGTGAGGAGAGGGGCAGGTGGCCGCCCCTCCTATATTAAACCGGTAGGCCAACCCGGTTGGGTAACCGGCCGGAGCACCGCGGCCATGACTCCCAAAGGGAGGGGCGCGGTACTTGGGCGTGGGGCTCCATGAGAGTCCTGGGGCCGAGGTGTCGGGGTGGGAATACAGGCGTAGTTCCCCTGACTCCTCCCACTTCGGTCCGAGCAGTAGGCACCCCGCAGTGGTTTTAGCCGGTAAGAGTCCGGCATAATCCCCGCCCTCCCGAAAAGGGCGGGGTATCCATGAGAATTTCCCCTGCGTGACCAAAGAAAAGAGGCGTTACAATTCCTAAAGTTAAATTTCTTAAGTTAAAATTACATTTTGACAAAAGAAATGAATAATAATTAAAAGATAATACGTAGCTATTTGTATTAAACTTAACATTTAATTCTTTTGAAATTTCTTGCCAGTGAGTTGCTATTATATCACGAGATCTGTTCGCAAGTGGCAATGTATGATCCCATAATTCTCTTCTTTTTTTCACGTTTGTTATTAGAAGTTCCTCAATGTCTTCTGCAACACAGATATTTCTATAACTCTAACCAATGGCAGGATTATGTCCAAAAACGTGTTAATGACATATTATTGACATTAGATGTTAAAATGTTATTCCGTTATATCAAATGCTACAATTATTAAAATATATTATCATTGTTATATTTTACATGTATTGTACAATATCAAATAATAAATAAGAATAAAATAAATTAAAAATTGCAAATCTTAATTGCATATATTTATAGTATACTATAATTTATTATAGATACTGTTATAGATACAAATTATTTCATGAATTTATAAAAAAATTATACCTGCGTATATACCAGGTATGTAGATATGAAACCGGAATTTTTGTATAGAAAATACACGTTTATTCTGTGAAAATGATAAAAAATATTTTATTCGAAGTATTGCCCATCGCTAGCTATACATTTTTCCCACTTGTCTGACAATTTGTGGATGCCACGCCAAAAAAACTGTAGCTGTTTTGAGGCAAACCAGTCATCGAGTCATTTTCATACATTTTCGTAAGAAGTGAAGCATTGCTCAGCAAGTGTGTGTTCCATCGATGCAAATAAGTAGAAATCAGATGGAGCCAAGTCTGGTGAGTAAGCCACATGCGTAAGTATTTTCCAACTAAACGTCTCAATCGTTTCCTTGACCAATTTTGCTGTGTGTGATGGTGCATTATCATGAAGCAAAATCACTTTGTGTTGCCTTTTTTGATATTCTGGTCGTCTTTCACGCTTGATTCAAATCGATCATTTATTGTCGGTAGCGTTCAGTATGAATGGTTTCGCCAGGTTTTAGCAGCCTTAATGTAATTTCCTTAATGTAATCCAACCTGTTTATATCATCTGTATCCATGTCACGGGATCGTTTATTAGAATCTTCTCCAGTCATATCAATATTATTCTGTTTACTTAATATATCATCAACAATTGATGTCTGAAACAATTTTATAATGGTAATCTTACAATGATAAGTAATGGTTCAAATCTTATTTTAAGTTTTTTAATTTTTTTAATTTTTATCAACCTCTTCTTGAGACTGCAATTTTATTTCTTTATCTCTGTCATTGAGTTTCGCAATTTCTAAAAATGCTGCCACTTTTTTCTTCTTTTTTTCCAACCTTTGTAATTGTTTTGTTGTGTATCCGTTCATCATCTATTACTTCACATATATGAGATAATTTACAACTTGTTAACATTATATTAAATCTAAAATTTATATTATACATATTATACTTCTGAACATAATATAAAATAGTTATATATAATTATACGTAGTAACTTTTTTATTTCAACAAACAACATTTAGTTGAAACAGTTCTTCATTGACATAATATATATCTTTCCCTCAGTTGAAGAGATTTTGTAATCTCAAGGTTTCATAAAAAAAGTAAAATTTATGAACTATTATTGTATGTTTCACAAAATCATAATTTTATTACTTTCTTCTTAGCTACTTGATTATTGTCCATTAAAATATTGTGCCATTTTCTATTCAGATAGTCATATATTTTATTCATAAAATCGTAATGAGGGTGACTAATAATTTAGTTACTCTTATCATATTGGTTTGTTTTTGTGTATTATATATCATTAAACAGAAATCTTGCTAGCAATTTTCCACGCGCAACGAGGACGAGGAGGGTACGGGAGGGGGCCGAAGGCCCCCTTTACACCCCCGCGTGTGTATGTGTGTATACATATGTTTGGTAGTGTATGTATACATATGTTTGAGACATTTTCATATATTAAACATATGAATTTTTAGTTCATGTATCAGTGGTTATTTTTGTTATATAATAACCACTGATACATGAGCTAAAAATTCATATGTTTAATATATGAAAATGCTTTGGGGAGAGGGCTTCGCCCCTCCCCAACATGTACTATTTTACATTTTTCGACTGAAAAGAACAGACCATAAGTCTCTGTATTACCGACATGACAGATTTCCTAACCTCGCATGTGTCACTTTTTAACTATTTATTTCTCGCAAACTAAAGCCATGCGACGATTTTTATTTGCAGATTCGGCTTCTACACGTCAAAATATACAAGATAGGTGAGTTTGAGCGAAATCCAAGGTGAGGCTTGTCTTCTAAATAATTACCCAAAATATAACTACAGACACCAAACACATAATAAATATTGTAACACATAATTACACAACTACATTCAAATAATATAAACCAGTATATTCAGATTGCGTTTCGATACTTACTGCCAGTATTATGGAGGATTCACATTAAGCAAAACACCATGGACATAGTTTATATAGACTCTGCGTCTTTGACTATATAACTCAAAGTTCGGCAAAATGTGCACGCGACGGCAGTAATGCCAGTTTCAGGACCCAAACAGCACAGCTACAGTGCGTGCAGCGGCGCGCACACAAGCAAACTACCGTGTACACTCGTGAATTAAAAGGTATGTGCACCGATTTTTTGTTGACTTCGGAACGCGCTCCAACTTGAGGAGAAAGACAACCACTGCTTCATACGTCAGCGTTGTCACTTATTACGAGAGCAGAAGGATGGCATATACGAGTGTCAAATAAGTAGTGATTGTGGCGTAGACACAAATGTCTTGGAGACTTTGAGTTATAATTGAAGAAATGAAGAAAACAAATAGTGATTGTGAAGAAAAGTGGCAAAAGGCTTCATAAAATTTGTAAAACAGCATATTAAAGGAGAGTATTAATTGTCTAATAATATTTCAAGCGAAAAATATTTTTAAATCTGAGTGTAAGTTAAAAAAGTTATAAACCATAATTTCTTTAATGTTAATAAATTTGTCATCGACATTGAATGAATATATATATAATGCTATAATATATATATAATGAATGAATATATATATAATGCTATTATTATATAGGTGAGGAATTATATTATTGTGTTCAGTAGAAGTAAGCAGCAGACCAAATTGAGTGATATGAGCATCTTGTTAAAAAAATATCACTCGACTTGGTCTGCTGCTAATTTTTTATGAGCGCAATAACATAATTTTCCACCTATATAAATGATAGCATTACATACATATTCATTTAACGTCGATGGCAAATTTATAGCTATAAAATTATTAACATTAAAGAAATTATGGTTTATAACTTTTTTAACTTATACTTAAATTTAAAAATATTTTTCACTTAAAATATTATTAGACAATTAATACTCTCCTTTAATATGGTTTTACAAATTTTATGAAGCCTTTTGCCACTTTTCTTCACAATCACTATTTGTTTTCTTCATTTCTTCAATTATAACTCAAAGTCTCCAAGACATTTGTGTCTATGCCACGTGTGCCTGCCCGTCACGAACTATAGCACTCGGCGTTTCGGCTAAAGCCAGCGGCACACGGTGCTTGTTTTCGTGTTGGATTGCTTGCTGGATGAAAATACTGCGTTCTGATTGGTGTATCCATCCATCTTCGGAAATATACGAATCACAACGCAATATTTTCATCCAGCAAGCAATCCAGCACGAAAACAAGCACCGTGTGCCGCTGGCTTTAGTTCGAGCGGTGGAAGAGTGCAGACGACGCTGCTCTCTTTCTCTCACGATCTATTAGCTATAGCTAACGCGCTAGCCGTGAAAATGATGCCTAGGCGTCTTTAATGTATTTCGCCGGTCGCGTGTCCTTTCTCGCGCGTGCGTTCTCTTCCTACCCAATTAATTGTCCTAATTAATTGTCGCATTAAATAGAAAGTTTTTTACATATAAAGGATATAAAAAATGAAGAAATGGAAAACAGAAAGAATGTAAAAAATAAAGAATAGAAATCCACTCTTGGCCAATATGTACGCATTTTCCTTAAAAAAGCATGGTTATTAATTTGTATGAAGCAGTGGTTGTCTTTCTCTTTAAGTTGGAGCGCGTTCCGAAGTCAACAAAAAATCGGTGCACATACCTTTTAATTCACGAGTGTACACGGTAGTTTGCTTGTGTGCGCGCCGCTGCATGCACTGTAGCTGTGCTGTTTGGGTCCTGAAACTGGCATTACTGCCGTCGCGTGCACATTTTGCCGAACTTTGAGTTATATAGTCAAAGACGCAGAGTCTATATAAACTATGTCCATGGTGTTTTGCTTAATGTGAATCCTCCATAATACTGGCAGTAAGTATCGAAACGCAATCTGAATATACTGGTTTATATTATTTGAATGTAGTTGTGTAATTATGTGTTACAATATTTATTATGTGTTTGGTGTCTGTAGTTATATTTTGGGTAATTATTTAGAAGACAAGCCTAACCTTGGATTTCGCTCAAACTCACCTATCTTGTGTATTTTGACGTGTAGAAGCCGAATCTGCAAATAAAAATCGTCGCATGGCTTTAGTTTGCGAGAAATAAATTGTTAAAAAATTATACATGCGAGGTTAGGAAATCTTGCTAGCAATTTTCCACGCGCAACGAGGACGAGGAGGGTACGGGAGGGGGCCGAAGGCCCCCCTTACACCCCCGCGTGTGTGTGTGTGTATACATATGTTTGGTAGTGTATGTATACATATGTTTGAGACATTTTCATATATTAAACATATGAATTTTTAGTTCATGTATCAGTGGTTATTTTTGTTATATAATAACCACTGATACATGAGCTAAAAATTCATATGTTTAATATATGAAAATGCTTTGGGGAGAGGGCTTCGCCCCTCCCCAACATGTACTATTTTACATTTTTCGACTGAAAAGAACAGACCATAAGTCTCTGTATTACCGACATGACAGATTTCCTAACCTCGCATGTGTCACTTTTTAACTATTTATTTCTCGCAAACTAGAGCCGAGCGACCATTTTTACTTGCAGATTCGGCTTCTACACGTCAAAATACATAAGATAGGTGAGTTTGAGCGAAATCCAAGGTGAGATCCGTCTTCTAAATAATTACCCAGAAAACAGATGTTGCAAGTAATGTAATTAGAGAAATTCATATTGTGTATGGGAAACGTAACCTCCTTATATACATTGGTGATATCACGTGGATATGTTGCTTTTTCATGTTTGCTATATAACGATAATATAATATTGTATTTGTCAAAATTCAATGGACAATTTGCTGTAGTTTTAATGAATATATATTTTTTATTTGCTATTCTGGTATATAATTCTGTTTAATGATATATAATACACAAAAACAAACCAATATGATAAGAGTAACTAAATTATTAGTCACCCTCATTACGATTTTATGAATAAAATATATGACTATCTGAATAGAAAATGGCACAATATTTTAATGGACAATAATCAAGTAGCTAAGAAGAAAGTAATAAAATTATGATTTTGTGAAACATACAGTAATAGTTCATAAATTTTACTTTTTTTATGAAACCTTGAGATTACAAAATCTCTTCAACTGAGGGAAAGATATATATTATGTCAATGAAGAACTGTTTCAACTAAATGTTGTTTGTTGAAATAAAAAAGTTACTACGTATAATTATATATAACTATTTTATATTATGTTCAGAAGTATAATATGTATAATATAAATTTTAGATTTAATATAATGTTAACAGGTTGTAAATTATCTCATATATGTGAAGTAATAGATGATGAACGGATACACAACAAAACAATTACAAAGGTTGGAAAAAAAGAAGAAAAAAGTGGCAGCATTTTTAGAAATTGCGAAACTCAATGACAGAGATAAAGAAATAAAATTGCAGTCTCAAGAAGAGGTTGATAAAAATTAAAAAAATTAAAAAACTTAAAATAAGATTTGAACCATTACTTATCATTGTAAGATTACCATTATAAAATTGTTTCAGACATCAATTGTTGATGATATATTAAGTAAACAGAATAATATTGATATGACTGGAGAAGATTCTAATAAACGATCCCGTGACATGGATACAGATGATATAAACAGGTTGGATTACATTAAGGACAAAGGAAATTCTAATGCAACAGATGAAATAGAATTACAGGCAAATAAAAAACCTAGGTAATTTTCATTTATTCATATAGAGCTTACTTTTGTGTTACAAACATAATAATTTGTGTTACAAAACATAATAAACTAGTATATACGTAATACATAATATAATGTAAATTAATCATATAATATAGTAATTGTGAAGAATACGGGCCTCACCAATTTTGCTGAAACTTTGCACATTTATATATTTTGATGCATAGAACATAATTTTGAAAGAAAAGAGTGTTGCTCTCAAATGGATCGAAAGTTATAAAATGATAAAAATGACATACAAAGTTAGGAAATCTGTCATGCCGATAATGCAGAGACTGATGGTCTGTTCTTTTTAGTCGCACAATTGAACTCAGTTCAATAGTGCAGCTGAAAGGGACAAACAGAGAAGCATGCGCAGTGTGTCAAAGTGTAAAATTAATTTGAATGAAGTTATTATTTTGTAAATAATATTTCATGAAGCATAGTATTGTTAGAGACACGTACTGTTAATAAATAAAGCAAATGTTTATTGGCAAGTTATAAACAAAAAAAGTTTTATGAGTACAATGCTTTAATGTTTTTCTATAATACATATATTCTTAAATATTATATCCTTAAATATTAGAAATAACATGAAATAATGTGAAAGCGAATAGTTCAAAATATAAATGATTCAATAGATATATAAAGCTCATTAACTGAAAAGAAACATGAATGCGTTGATCATATTATTGGTTTCTTGAAATTGATAAATCTACCATATATTAAAATTATAGATTCTGAAAAGATTAGCAAAGGCTCCAACGTAAGGTCTGGCAATTCAATTTTTCACCTTACAAAATTAATGAGTCTACGATATACTAAAACAACAGATTCTGAAAAGATTAACAAAGGCCCCTATGCAAGGTTTGGCAATTAAATCTTTTGTCTTACTAAATCAGTCGAGTTTACGATATACTAAACAGATTCTGAAAAGATTAGCAAAGGCCTCTACGCAAAGTTTGGTAATTAAATCTTTCTCCTTACTATATTAATGAGTCTATGATATATTAAAATTACATTCTGCAAAGATTAATAAAGGCTTCTATATAAGCGTATTTATCGACTGTTTTAGTTGTTTTAGTATATCGTAGACTCATTAATTTAGTAAGGCAAAAGATTTAATTGCCAGGCCTTGCGTTAGAGCCTTTGCTAATTTTTCAGAATCTATAATTTTAATATATGGTAGATTATCAATTCCAAGAAACGAGTAATACGATCAATGCATTCATGTTTCTTTTCAGCTAATGAGCTTTATGTATCCATTGGATCATTTATATTTTAAACTATTTGCTTTCACATTATTTCATGTTATTTCTAATATCTAAGAATATACGTATTATAGAAAAACGTTAAAGCATTGTACTTATAAAACTTCTTTTGTTTATAACTTGCCAATAAATATTTGCTTTGTTTATTAACAGTACGTATCTCTAACAATGCTATGCTTCTTCATAAAATATTATTTACAAAATAACAGCTTCATTCAAATTAATTTTACACTTTGACGCACCGCGCATGCTTCTCCGTCGTCTGTCCCTTTCAGTTTCAATGCACTATTGAACTGACAAGGAGGGACATGTCACAACTGTCCGGAACCGATTTGATTCTCCTTCAAATATGTTGTTAAATACACAAATCTAAAAGACACGTATTTTTTTATATGTGCGAATATTGAGTTTTAAAGGGTGAAACACCCCTTTAAAGAAAAACAGTATTTTTTTTTAGAATCGAATCTGCTAAACTATAAGCGATAGAAAAAAAAATGTAATGAAAATTTAATCGCTTGAAGAATACTTTAAAGTTATATGAACAAAAATTTTTTTATTTTTATTTTTTTTAAGAACCCCCACCACTTAATTTTTTTGCAAAAAAAATTTTTTTTTTTTTTTTTAATAAAATGTTTATTACAATCTCAAACAGTAGCTCAAATAAGTAATAATTTTTACAAATGTTGATTTAACATGTATTGAGTCTTAGATCATTATCCAAGCTCTTAAATATCTACATTGCAGTCCGTATATACCGATACAATATGCACGGCCATATTTCCCCCTCTTTTTCATTTCACCAGATCCATTGGCTTTCTACGCTTTAGCCGTCTTATATCCCCCTCAGTATCTAGGAGTTGGAGAGCTTCTACGTTAATATGTTCATGCAGTCTTCTTTCATGCCTTAAAACGTGTTCCTTAATTATTTCATTTACATTTTTCAGGTTCAGATCCTTATGAAGATCTTCATTTTTTTGAAACCATCTCGCATTAGTAATTTGTCATATGATTATATTCTGTGAACGTTGTATAATCATTCGGTTGGTATCCGGTGCACATCCCCAGATTTGGATGCCATATTGATGTCACATATGTCCATATTGATCTTATGATCATTACGTACAATAATCTTTTTTGATACAGGTCCAACTTAGACTTTCTTCCAATTAACCAATACATTTGTCGAATTTTAAATCGTATTTGTTCTGCTTTTTTTCTTAAATGATGCTTCCAAGTCAAGCGTGTGTCCAATGAATACCCAAATACTTGTGTCACTGCATGGTATTTTTTGGCCTTCAATGTACACAGAGTGTTTCGTCTCAGTTCGTCTCAGAGTGAACGTAATATGAGTCGATTTTTGCTGATTGAGTTTGATCTTCCAATCCTGCATCCATTTTGCTATTTTATCTATAGCATTTTGAAGATTATTCGTTGCTTCTTCTTGCGAGTTTTTAACCGTCATGACCACTGTGTCATCAGCATAAGTGGCAAGTGTAGTATTACTGACTGTAGATATATCCGCGGTGTATAACAAATACAGGGTAGGTCCGAGGACACTACCCTGTGGCACACCTGCCTTTATTTGATAGAATTCCGATAGCACCATAGAATTTCCTTAGCACCATTTTGTAACACTCTAAATCTGCGTTCAGATAAGTACGATTCCAGTAGTCTACACAAATTTCTTGGTAATGATTTGCTTAACTTACATACAAGTCCCTCGTGCCAAACCTTGTCAAAGGCCTGCGCTACGTCCAAGAATACAGCAGAGCAGTATTTCTTTTCCTCATGCACCTTCTCAATGACAGAGGTTACTCTATGTATTTGATCGACTGTAGAATGTTTATTACGAAAGCCAAATTGATGATTAGGTATGTTCAACATAGGTTTTAGACGTTTAATGATTATTTTTTCAAGCAATTTGGATATCACAGGTAACAGAGATATTGGTCTATAGAATGCTGTTTCTTCTTCAGGCTTATCTGGTTTTTTGATCATGATGATCTGAGCTATTTTTAAACATTCTGGTACATACTCGAGTCGTATGCACGCATTAAACAAGTATGTTAACATAACTATCCCCTTTCTTGATAGTTCTTTAAGTATATTTGGTGTGATTTCATCAATGCCTGGTGTTTTTCTTGGATTTATGTTATTATCTATTACCTGGGCAATCTCTTTAGGTGTAACATATTCAATTTAAATATCATCATTGTACGTTTTGGTAAGCACAATTTTGGACTGTATGTCATTAGTTTTGAATACTTTAGATAGGTGACGTGCAAACATCTCTGCTTTTTCCTCATCTCTACGAGTCCACTTGCCATTTTCATCTTTAATTGGAGAGATTCTGGTTATAGGTCTCTTGAATCTTCTAATAGCTCTCCACAAAGAGTAATCAGAATCTTTGTCCGCAAAAAGGTTTCCCAAGTATCTTTCAAAATTTTTATTGTTTAAGTCTTTTATTAATCTATTTAGTTGATTACTGGTACGGTTGAACACATTCTTGTGCCCCGGATTTCTTGACTGTTGCCAAATTCTTCTTGCTCTTCTTTTTTTAATCAGTTCTCTTATCTCAGTTGGGTAGCATAAATCTTGGACCAGGGTGTTTTTAGGAGTCAGAGTCGATCTTTGCGCCGCTATGCGTATTGCTTCCACAAAGTTTTTCGTCTGTAGATTCAGGTCTTGAATTCAGGTTTTTAAGCCTCATTTTTAGATTAATAGTCTTGTCCACCTCCTCTCTAAATTTTTCCCAGTCAGTATGCTTGTTGGTAAGTGTATACTTCTTTTCTCTACGTATAACCATGCTACTTATTGTCATTAATACAGGTACATGATCAGATGAGAGATCTTCTATATTACCTACCTTCAAATAGTTATTTGAAATTCCTTTGGTAATATAGAAGTCTAAAAGATCAGGTGTCTTTTCTACATCTGTTGGCCAATATGTTGGTTTACCCGATGAGATGTAGTCACATTTGCAAGCATTTGTTGCTTTGAGTAGCTCTCTACCTTTCGATGTAGTTAGTCGCGATCCCCATTCTTTGTGTTTTGAGTTAAAGTCACCTCCGATTATGAATCGCGACCCTAGTTTAAGAAGAATTTTCTCGAACTGGTCTTTTTTAATGTTATGCCGAGGAGGACAATATGCGGCTGCTATATTAAGTTTTCTATTGTTCTGCTTGATAGTAATTATTGTCGCCTGTATGTAGTCTCTTCTGGTTTCCTCTTGTTGAAAGTGTTCTATATTATTTTTGATAATAATCGCTGTTCCCACGTGTGCTCGTCTACTGGGATGTATAGTATAATATACCGTGTAACCATAGATCTTCAGATAACTTTTGTCGGTAAAATGCGTTTCGGATATTAATGCTATATCTAAATTACTCATTCTAAGAAACACATCAAGTTCTCTACCGCGTTGCGCCAATCCATTTACGTTCCACGCTATGATACGAAGTGATGTATCCGTCATTTTTCCTTCTTTTTTTTTCTTCTTATTAGCGGTGTTGTAAGACTTGTGCATTATGGTTTCCTCCAGAAGATCGAGCCTACTTCTAGTGTCCATGATCATTTGTTGTACATTATTAAATAGATTCCATATGTCTTGTGTAGTAGGCTCTTTAACTTCAGCTGGCAATATAATTTGCTCAGCTGATGATTGCTCTAAATTTCTTTTGGCTGCTTCGATATATGTTTTAGGTGTAGTGGGAAATTCCGTCT